GAAGTTACTAATCAGGCTGTTACTCCTACAAGCTGAAATAGAAAAGAGAAACTTTATCATTTCTATTTTAAAATTCTTAGGGGAGGGACCTAGATACCATGGCAATGAAGGCTGTATTAATGTTCAGAAGAGAGATTAAACCTGATTTCACCAACTGCAAGAATGTGATTTTGTAAAAAACAAAGAGGATTGGGACTGGTACAGAAGTGTCAGGGTTTCGTTATCCCTGTCTATGAGTTCACCACGAGGGAGAAGTGGAACAATAAGTGTGTGAAGTGTGAGAGTGCATAGAAAACATATCTAGAGAGGTCTACTATATAGTCTTTAAGAAGACTGTTTCTGCAAGGTATGAGTTACGGTGTCTGAGCTCTCAAAATGTGAACTGTTGACATTTTGCTGTACATGGATGTTATCTAAATGTGCTTACCTGCTTCGTGTTTGGAAAAAGGACCACGAAGCAGAACAAGATGGAATGAAAAAAAAAAAAGACCTGGGATTTAAACTGAGAGTGGTTTGCACCAGCTGACATTCACAGACACATTCACTCATAGCAAGGGGTAGAGCATAGTTTATCGATTGTCATATAATTTATAAGTCACATGCATGCAAAGGGATCTTTAGTTCCCCAGGTCAGATCCTTTATATTTTTACTTCTTTCTCTTAATTGGTGTTTCCTGAAAAAAACTGAGAATATTCTGTAACTCTATGGTGTGGTTAAAAACTTAATAAGTTATTTGAGAAATGTATGAAATGTGGAAGCATACAGAGGTAGAATTGTCTTTAGCCGTACAAATTGTTCTTCATTTTACAATAGAGGAAGGAATACAGTAGGGCTTGAAGAGTAATTCATATAAATCTCACCTCTTATACACCTGAATTAGGTATGTTCAGATATGTTTTCCACACCTAGCATGAAATGGAAGTGAAAATATGAGAAGGAGTTCATCATGGGCCAGGCAAGCATCACAGCAGTAAGGTTTTCTCCTTTAACATAATGCTTTTTTCCTTTTCGTGTCATCTCTTCCTCTGTTTTGATTTGGAAGGCAAAACTGAAAAGCTTAACTTTCACGCTCAACTAAGTGCAGAATGACACAGCTTGCCTTAGTGCATGTACAATGCAAAGAGATAAAACAACAGAATGTCAGTTCTAAATAACTCAATTAAATCTCTATTCACTTAAGAACTCTATGCAAAATTACATTCTCTTCTAAAATTAAAAATCTACAAAATCCACCCAGACTCTCTCAACACTACTTCTTAAGCTTCTTGAAACTTTATTCCCCACTCCTGCATATTTTCCTAATTCTGGCCTTCTCTTGATCACTTCACCCAGTCTATCCTGAATGGTTTTGAGAGCCTTCAGCATACAAAAATTGCTGTGCTCAGAAGAGCTTTTCTGCATCTCTGACTAAAAAAATCCCTACCCTCCAATTAAATGGAAACCAAAACCTGCTTTGTTACATTGCTTAATTTCTTTCACTAATTGTCATTGTTTTCATGTCTACATGCTATAATCCATTCAAAGTGAACTGTCATTAATTGAAAAATAATATCACCAAGCAGCTGCTTTTTGGTGAGAAAAGCAGCTGTTGTTATGCCCTTCTAAACAAACAGGAAGTGCAAATGATGATTTCCACCAAAATTTATTATTCAAATTCTACTCTGTTGGTAACAATATACTAATCTTCCCTTAATTATAAATAGGCAGATCAACTTTGTCTATTACAGCTGCACAAATTTGAGCTAGTAGTTACTGGGCCACTCTCATTCTGGAGGTGCTCATTTGTTCTATTCTCTCCAGTTCTCACAGTGCCACTCCAGATTCCCCTTTACTTGGTCTTTCCAATTATTGATGGTCCTCCTTCAAATGAATGTAATGCTGCCTAAATGATTTTGTTTCTACTTCTTTGTTCTTAGATTTTAAAGAGAGGGTCCAAACCTGTCTTATGGAGAGTTTTCTTACCTTGTTTACCTGGCTTCTGAAGGGAGGATTCTCATTACTTTCCCTGTGAAGCTTTTAGACTTTTTCTAAATATCCTATCTTGCTAGTGCTTACATTAATACAGGTTCAAAAACTCAGTAGTAACATTTTCATTCTCCTTGCTTGTCCCAAAGACTCTCAGATAAAGTGAGCACAAATACTTTATTGTAATACAGTAGTTTATTAATTGCATAAGGGGTGAGATTGCAGCTGATTTTAGACATCTGTAATGGATACAAGCTGGAAGATGGGAAATTCTGATTAGATATGAGGAAATTTTTTTTTTTTTTTACCATGAGTATGGTCAAATAGTGGAAGAGATTGCCCAGGGATGTTGTGGAATCTGCATCCTTGGAGATGTTCAAGACTCGCCTGGGCACTATGGCACTATCCTGAGCAACCTGCTCTAATTAGACCTGCTTTGAGAAGGATGTTGGACTAGTTGACCTCTGGAGGTAATTTCCAACCTAAATTATTATATGAGTCTATGTTTTTAGTGTTCATCTCCATAGCTGAAACAATCATCCTAGGCTCACCAAATAGTTAATGAAGGGAATTGTCCCTTTTACAGTCTGTTTTAGATTTCAACTTGAGAACGGGCTGAATCATGGTCTAGGCTCCATTGACTATAAAGAAAGTTTAGGGTACCTGCCTCAGATAGTAATGAATTCCACCCCAGGCAACTACAGATTATGTGATAGTTTAAACATTTTCCATGCTGCTAGATTAGTGTGTTATTACTTTAACTATAACTCCAAAATAGGCACAGATGCTGGGCTGCAGTGAATTGACTTGCTAAGGCTCCTGAAGAAGTTCATTAGCAAAGTTTGGAATAAACTCTACATGACCAGGCATCTACCTAGTTGCATATAGTAGGTATTAGGTTCTGGTTTTGGGAGTGTGTTATCCCCTTTCACATCCAAGCTATAATGACCTCCCCTTTAGTATTATGAGGGGGAATGGGAA